GGGAGGGGAGGAAGGAAGGAAGGAAGGAAGGAAGGAAGGAAGGAAGGAAGGAAGGAAGGAAGGAAGGAAGGAAAACTATAGTGGGTGTTTAGCTTCTGTAGGACACCCAGTCTCTCCTCCAACTACCTAGTCTTAAAACAACAGGCTGAAAATGAAACTTCCTTTCAGTGATCTGTAGAACAAATGATTCAATCAGGAAAGTTAAGACCTCACTGGTTATTTTGGAGTATGTAGTGGGGGTAAGGGAGAGCTGAGAGGCTGAAGTGATGGCTAATGGTTAAAAGTACTGGCTATCTGGCTACTCTTACCAAGAGGGCCTGGGTTTAAATCTCAGCACCCTATGGCAGCTCACAACCATCTTTAACTCAAATTCTAGGGATGGATGCCCTCTTCTGTTCTCCACAAGCACTGCATACAAGTGGTACACATACAAGCAAAATATTCATACACATAAAATACAAATAAATCTTTTTTTTTTAAGAGATGGTTTACATGGAGTTTAGAAACTAGAAGCTCAAATATAAAAACTGGGCTCCTTCAAACTGCACAGTAGGACTCCTTAAATAGAAAACACCTTGGTAATGGGAAGTAACCCCCTTAGGAGCCTTAGGTCTCCACCTCACAAGGCTTGCAGTCCACTGACATCCCACAGGTATCTGCACACATTCTATGATGTATTACAACTTCAATCACTTCTTTCTGCCAAGACTTTATGGCTGCAAATTCTAAGTACTATAAAAACTCCATGCCAATGGTTCAATACAGCTTACCTGTATGTATTTTGAGGTGTGTCCGTAGGTTGCTTGGATCACTAAAAGCCTTGCTACAAAAATCACACTTGTGGGGCTTCATACCCATATGACCCATAAAGTGAACGTGGAGTTTGGAAGGAGAGATAAAAGCCTGGGGGCACATTGAACACTTCCACTTCCTTTCCTTGCTGTGGCTTGGCCCATGGCTGCTGCTGTGGCCCTGGCTAGGGAGATGGTTATGGATATGGCTGGTCAGATGAGCTTTGAACTCTGAATAGGAATTGCACTCCTTGCCACAGTTACAGAGGTGCACATCTGGGTGTTCAGGAACACCTTTAAAAAATTAAATCAATATCTCCTGTTACTTTAATTTCAAAATTATTCTTGACATTAATAACTGACGATTACAATTTCCCCTTCTACCAAAATGTCTAAATCACTCACTACCTGTCAAACTAAGAATTCTTGTTCATTGCTATATTCCTATCATTTAAAATAGTGCACCAGGGCACACAAGAAGCACTTGATAAACATAGAATTGATACAGTCTTTTTTTCCTGGAGAAACCATTTACATTTTGTAGTTCACACAAACTCTTAAGTAGACCTATAAATGTGACACAGTAGAAAGAGAAAAAAACACATTAAATCAAACCGAAGGGGCTGTGCTAACTTTCAAAAACAGTTTCAGGGATTTACAAGCCCTGATTCAAAATTCCTAACAAAAGCTTATTTATTTGAAACCACAACATCAACCTAGTGAAGAAATGCCGATTTCTGTCACCTCGCACACAGAGCTAGCAGCTTGCTTTCCAAAGCTGGCACTGTAAAATCATTATCAAATTTTCTTCCTGGTGACTGATGGAACTGCCCTAGATTCATGCTAACAAGTCTCGCAGACTTACCTATCTGTTGGGCATAATTCCGGCTATAATAGAAAAGCAGCTCGTTCTCAGGAGGGATGTCTTGTGAGGTACAGAAATAGATCTTTCCATCATGGGGATAGGCCACCAAATTCTGTTCTTCACGGTTCCTACATGACCACAGTCAATAGATCAAGGGTAAGAGAAAGGCTGGTTGCAAACATCTGGTCTCAATTTTCCTGCTTCAGCCTTCTAAATAGCTAGGGCTATACGTATATACCACACTTGGCTAGGGATACTTTTTCTTCAGTGATGTGGTTCAAACTAACACTTTGCACGTTCTAGCCCAGCAATACAATCAATAAGCTACTCCTGCTGCCCCTTGAGTATAGTAATTCCATATCCTCTGTAAGCAGAAGCCAATGAAAGCTTAGACAGAATTATTGTCTCTATTGTTTCTGTAACTCTCTATCCTCCCTACTAGGGATTGTGAAGACTCCTTGCTTTAGTGAGAAACATCAGTCTGTTAGTAGATGTAAAATGAGTAAGTAGCAAGGCATGGGCGACTCACACCTGTAATCCCAGCACTTGAGAGGCAGACACAGGACTGACTACAGGAGCATTGCTCCAAGTTCCAGACCAGGCTGAAGTACATAATAAGATCCTATCTCAAAACAAACAAAAGCTAAATGAAAACCAAGGATGACTGCTTGTTTTGAGACTGGGTCCTAATCTGTGTTCAGACTGACCTAGGGCGGGCTATGTAACACAGAACAAACCAGAACTTGCAGAGGTTCCTGCCTCAGGCTCCCAAGTATTGGTCGCTGGTTATTTTAGGCCTGAGTCACAATGTCCATGAAGTCTTAAAAATTCTTTATGACAAATATATATGAAGATAGAAAGCTAACAAATATAGTTAACTAATAATCACCTGAAAAAGACTACTGGTGATATGAAGAGGCATTTACTTATAAACTCATGGGTGACTGTATCATTCCTTATTGCCACAAGCCAAATAAAATGTTTTTAAAAAGACATATTCTGCTTCCCAGTCACCACCAGTCAGCTGCTACTAGACTGGAAATGCTGAAAGGCCTGGGCTTAAGGCCGTCGAGATACTAGTGGCAACTTGTATTCATCAGCTCTTCCATAGCTTACGCCAAGCTCACTATTGAACAACCACCTGGATGGTAGGGACACCGTTACTAAAGCAGCCTTACCTGGCTTTGCGCACAAACATCATCCAATTACACTCATTTTCATCAGTTGTAATGATGCAGAATTCGAGGACGCCATTGTGATATATCTGCCAACAGAAGGCAAGCACAGGGAACGTGAACTGACCACCCTTCATTTACTCATCTAGGAAGTGCTAGTTAGGGCCCTCTCCACGGTTATTTTACCACCCTTCCCATTTCCAGAAATTCAGGAAGAGTTTTAGAGGTCTTCAGGTGCTGCTCCCCGCACAGAATGACTTCACTCTTGAGTACCTTTGGCTAAGAAGATAAACTACAGTTTATTTATCTACCCATCTTTATCAAAACTGCCAGGTAGGTACAGAGGCGGTGACTGTCTCCTAAAGACAGACAGCCACCGCCACCCATTTTCCCAGTCAAACATTAAGATTAAAGTCCCTATGACACACCACCCCAACACTTCAATTCTACACCCATCTTTAAGATTCTATATAAATATGTTACTGATACAGACATTGACATCAAACCCTTATATTCCCATTAGGAAACTAGAGAAATAATTATAGCTAATTCTAAAACTGTTTCCTGAGCCAAATATTCTAGTTAACTAAAAATAACTTGTACTTTGTAAACAAAGTTCATGGCCTCAGCAGCCACGGGGTGATGAAGAGCACTAGCCACTCTTGCAGAGGCTTCCCATACGGAAGTTCACAACTGTCTATAGCTCTAGTTCCAGGGGCTCTGACACCATCTTGTGGCCTCCATAGGCACTGCACACAAGTGCTACACATACATTTAGGCAAAATACCCAAACATACAAGATAAAGATAAATGTTTTTAAAGAGATTGGAATCATTGCATTGATCCATAAAATGAAAACTGCATCTACTGATCCCCTATTTGTTCAACAGCTGGTACACTGCTGTAAAACGTTTATACCAGAAGTAAGAGAAAATGTAATACAAAACAATGCACAGGCTGATGCATTCATTCTCAGGCCTGGCTAATTTTGACTTGTCATACTTTAAACAATGAAAACTGCCCAGAAATGTCAAACATGGTGTTGGCATGGCACAGCCCAGCATCTGGGAAGCTGAAGAGGGGGACTCAGAGTGTGACATCAGCTTGGGATACAAAAAATAGCAGCAGCAGCCAAGTCAGAGAAGTTGTTCCAACACTGACCTTCCAGACATGGTTAACTGCCTTGTCTGTCCACTCTGCTACTTCCATGGAGTGACTCTGCTGACCAATTAGAGGCCCGAAGCAAGTCCGCACAGGAATGGTTTCTGCAGTCCATACACCTATCAATGGAAGGACACCAACTACACAATGATATAAACCTACTGAGACAGGCACTTAACCCAAAGAATCTCATGTTCACCAAAGCTAACATTTTTGATGTGTCAACAATCCTGAGACAGCTAAGCCATGGAGGTCCTTGCCTAGAGTAACAGCTAAGCCGTGGAGGTCCTAGCCTAGAGTAACAGCTAAGCCATGGAGGTCCTAGCCTCGAGTAACAGACAAAAGAATCCAACAAGGTGGCTCAGAGTCACTTATCATGAAACCTTGATGATCTGAGCTCCACCCACAGAACTCACTTCTGAAAAAGTGTCCTCTAACCTTCCCATCTCTCTCTCTCTCCTTTTCTCCCCCCCAATAAAATTCAATTGAATGCAGAAGCAAAATCAGATTCCTGCTGTATACAAACAAAACCTACATGTTTCCAAACACATTATTTTAGAATAAGCAAGAGACCAGAAAACATTTTATCAAAAAAATAGCAATCTATATAAATCAAGCTTCTAAAATTTCTTATACTTAATATAATGCATGACTATTATCTAAGCTGTTTAGTGCTTTCAAGATTCATGTCCAAGCTGTAGCTGAAAATAATAAACCTACTTTTGCATTTCCAAAGGACTGGCACAGTAATTCAGAAGCTGTTAAATTCAGACATGGGTGAGTAAGCCCTGACAATCACAATTCCTTCCTGAGAAATGCCACACAAGTACATTTTCTAAAGGTCTGCTTATCTTCCATGCACCACCTGACCATCAGAGGTCAATTTCCCGCATTTTAGTAGAACAAGTTTGCAGGAGCATGGTGGCTTGGTAGTTGATGGGTGTCTGAGACCCGAGACTGTCAAAGCGTTGGGCGAGGATTTGTGCTTCTTGTCAATTCTGACCTCTGCAGAGGCTTCCCACCGAAGCTTTCATAAGCTTTACTGTTGTCTCCATCGGAAGTCAACCATTCCCTAACACTTACTTTAATAATTTGAAGCCACTGAATTCTAGATCAACGTTCACTTAACTAATCAGTCACTAATTACACACACACACACACACACACACACACACACACACACACACACACACTTTCACAGCTCTGCCCCATCAAGGAGAGTTGGTGGGATTTTGTGGTGTCTTCAATGTTCTTACCAACATCTGCTCCCACAACGGACTGGCGGAGAACGAGCTGCTTCGGGAGGGATAGTCTTGCTCTGCTTTCTATTGGTGTGTCAGGAACAAAAGTCACTGGTCCATGATCAGGGCAATCTGAGGGGTAGGCTCGGTCACAAAGAGTGCACCCTGTAAGTAGCACATGTCAAAGACAAATGGATGTAGTTCACATAAGCCAAGTTACCACTTGGTATCAAATGCTAATTACTAAGTGCAACCAGTAAGAAGGACCTTAATTACAGTTATTGTTAATTGGAGACTTTATAAAGACTAATACAGAGGGCTCCTCACTGACTGGCTTCTGCACTTTTGGCCTTCTTGTTCACTGTCTTCAGAAGTTCTTTCGTACCCTTTGCTGACAGCTCCCTCCCACTGTCATGGCCCTGACTGTTACCTTCAGATAATCCCTCCCTGAGTTCCGTTAACTGTCTCTCTACTGAGCACCTTCACACTCAATCACTGTCTAAACTGGATTCTTCCCTCCTCCTTACCAAAAGTCCCTCCTCCCTCCCAAAGGCTACCACTCTACTCTCCCCCAGCTGTCGGTCAGCATCAAGTTTGTGTAGCACCTCACTCAGGAACTTGAGCTTTCTCCTCAGCACAGCCCTTTAGCCCACCTACAAGCTCTAATGACTGTTCCACAGATGTTCTGGTTTCCTCATCTTAGTCACTTCTACTGGAGGAGATAATCACCTTTCACTTAACTTCAGCATTATCTCCCTACAATAACTGCCTCTAACAAATCTAACAGCTCACAATACAGTAGAACCGCATACCATTGCTCACTCTTAAAAGCCTCACTGAGCTTAAAAGCCCTGCATGTTCGGCTCCTGCTTGTCTCCCCAGGTAACTGTCTCCTCAGACTGCAGCCACCTCAACCATTTTCTGATTCATCATCCTAGGCACTTAGGGGTGCCAGCGGCTGTCCTGCTGTCAACTGCCTACCATGGTGCCTGTCTTCAAAACTAGGATAACACATATGCTGCCCTCTGTGGCTAAGATGCCCTGACCCTTCCACAGCCCAGTTAAGTTACTCTTCAGGCTCCTAAAGCACCATGAGCTTAACTCACGGTCACGTCTCTACTGTCGTTCTGCACTACAGCTGCCCGTGTCTGTCCATGCTTCCTACCGGCTACAGGTTCCTCATATCTGTACTGTTTTGGTAGACTGCCCTGTCCCCTGCATCTGGCAGAGCATAGCACATAGTGAGCATTTCAAAGTTTCCTGCATGAATTAAGGACACAGTGAAACCAGCAAATCAACCACTTTACGTGGCTTTTGTTGCTGTCTAATAAAGAGAACCTTTACACGCCCAACCATGGTAATGTATACACTCTAAGAAAAATCACTGCATAGCAAGCCACATTTCCTCAGTTATAAAAGTGATCCAGCAACTCTTTTTCTCCGGCATATGCTGAAAGAGCACAATGTATATCATCAAGATTATCTCTGTTAAGTTTTATGCCTGTAATGCTGTTTGGGAAAATACCTTGATTATACGGAAAATACAGATATGTCTATATACTGCTTACTCCAGGGCGTCACTGTAAGAATGACTGAATTCTACCTTATTATTTGACTTGAGCAAATGGCACCAGATTAATAAAAGGACAGTATGAGGACAAAGAAAATTCCAAAATGAAATTCCTTTCTACACTCCATTAACCACTATCAGACTACGACAAACACTAATTAGGACAATGGTATCTTAAGACCAACACTTGAGATCAGGAGAGATGGCTCAGTAATTAAGAGCACTTGCTACTCTTGCAGAGGCCCCAGGTTCGATTCCCAGAACCCACAGGGAGGCTCACCATCTGTAACTCCAGTTCCAGAGAATCCAACACTGCCCTAGCTTCTGCAGGCATTAGGCACGCATGTGATACATGTACATGCATGCAGGCAAAACTCTCAAACACATACAATTTTAAAGCACAGAAAAAGTATTTCCAGAAGAGAACAGTGAAGCACACTCACAAATTGTAAACAAGGTTGCCATGTTTTCCTTGTTTGAATTGGAGTCTTCCATTTGCAGTGAAGATGGTACAAAAGACAAGCTGTCTGAGGACACATCTACATGACCTGTCCCCATGGCAACCTCCTGCGTGATGGAAGAGACAGCCACAGGCTCTAGGCTAAGGCCAACTTCATGGAGGGAAACAGACTCTAGGGAGGCCAGGTTGTGTGAGGTAGAGAGTGCCACGCTTACAGAGTTGGTGCTCATGGCTACAGTGTGGATAGAGTCACTGAGGGTACTGTCAGACATCCCATTGACCCGGTTTGCAATGTGGTCTGTCTCCATGACCACAGGAAGCTCCAGACCATTCCCATGAATGGGTATCACACCACCATGTCCTACAGTGTCTGCTGTAAGGTTGTTGCTCACAGAATCCACAGAGAGAGGCTCATGACTTCTGGAGCCATTTGGGATTTGGGAATGCTCTCCTGTAACAGCGTCCATTGTAAGCTCTTCTGCCATTCCATCTGTGGAGATTGGGCTGGTAACTCTAGAAACATTCTCCATAGTGATTGTTGTGTCCAATGCTACTTCATGGCCATCATTAGGATGAAGACTTTGGGAAGCATGTGTGTTTACAGAGCGAGAGTCTATTGAAACAATGCCTAGTTCTAATCCAACATTTCCATTGCCCTGATAGGGATCCAGTGCTGAAGGGTTGTTGGTGACAGATAATGCTGTATTTCCATCAACATTTATAGAGTTGGGGTGGATATACTGAGGAGGTGGTCTGTCAGCTAAATAAGATAAAATGCCTGAGAAAAGAAGAGATAGAGATAATTTGCACATTGTTAAACATAATTTCAAATATTAGGAATCCTTCTCCTTACTAATATAGCTAAGTTAAACAACATACTACTTCTTTAATCAATGGCTATACAAGCAGTACATATCCCATTCTGAGTTTCTCTATGAACTCAAATCCTAACACATGAAGCTGCTCTGCAGCCGTTAACAGCAACTTACCTGGAACCGACCTCTAAGAGCTATGTGACTGCTATTCTTTGGTCCTAAGATGCTAAAATTTGCTCTATAAAAAATATGTAAATAAACAATAAAATTATTTAAAAACTTCTGTTAAACACATTAAACTATTAAAAACAAGCTTATTTTACAGAAACTTTTTTGGGGGAGCAGGAGCAGGTTGGAATCAGACCCAGGGCCTCAAAAAAAGCCTTACTATAGAACTACATTTCAAATCCAAACCTGTGCTTCCAAGGATGTGGGGTGTCACCTGCAGTACTAGTGGAGAGTTATACTAAAACACAGTGTATTTATGAAACTCAAAAATGACCATACTGTCCTACATAAACACCATTTACAGCAACCTTCCCTAAATGCCTGCATGTATTTTGTAAATATACACAAAGAAGACACACCTAAGAACATCAGTTACAGTGACAATAAAGTCTGGAAAAATCAAGCTGGTCACTGATGTAATGAACCATTAAATATCCAATCAGTAGATTTTTTTTTTTTGAGACAGACATAGGCTAGTCTGAACTCCTGGTCTCCTTGTTTCCGCCTCCCAAACATTGGAATTACAGGGGTACGCTATTTAAAACGACCATTATAGGTGCCAGGATTGGTGGCAAACCCCTTTAATCCCAGCACTTGGCAGAGGCAAGTCTCTGTGAGTTCAAAGCCAGCCTGGTTTAAATAGTGAGTTCTTAGGTCAACCAGAACATAGCCTTTCAAAAAAAGGACATGAAGTAGTTTATGAAAAATCACCTAGTAGCAGAGGAAAAAACTAAGTACAACTAAGACAACTAAGTACAACTAAGACAACTGCAGAGAAATCACAGTCTTAATCATGAAAAACTGTAACAACCAAGGCGCCAAAATAAAAACAAAAGTATACTAGAAGGACAGATGTGGCTTCCCTTTCTCCGTTTGCTAAATTTTCTAAAAAGAGTATATAATACATTTATAACAGAATAAAAATCAATAAACTCTAAGACAGACAGGTAGCTGTTAAAGTGCAGAATTAAAAACACTGAACCAAAATTCAGTGATCATAGTTCACTTCATAAAAAGACTATTAACACTGTACCACAGGGAACTGAAGATGGCTCAGCAGGTAAAGCACTGACACATAAGCCAAAGGATCTGAGTCTGGATCCCTAACAACCATATGTAAAGCCCATGTTGTGTCCATGGTGGCCCACCTATAACCCCACAGATCGCTGACGCGAGCTGGAAGTTACACTAGCTACTGAGTCAGCAAGTTCTGAGGGCAATATGTAAGATGGAAAATACCTGAGAAAGACAACTGACATCAACCTCTAACCTCCATATGCACACACATCAAGAGATATGCGTACTCATACACACGCATGCACACTACACACATATATAGCTGCAAAGAAAAAATAGTAACACAAACCAGGCATGGTGGGGCTCATCTATAATCCTGACACTGAGGAGGCAGAGCCAGAGAAAAGAACTCAAATTTTGAAGCTAGCCTTGTCTTAACAGCAGATTCCAGGGCTACAAATAAGACCCTGTCTCAAACCACCACCACCACCACCAACAACAACAACAACAAAAACCCTTCATGCCTGTAATCCAGCAATTTAAAGGGGAAAAGCAAGAAGATTGGAAGCAAGGTCATTCTCATATACAGGCAATTAGTTACCCAGTCTCAAAATGAACAGGACGTCAGCTATAGCTCAGTGGTAAAGTGCCTTTCTAGTATGAATGAGGCCCTACATTCAATCCCCACCACTTCAAAAAGATTAAAACAACGAAAAAACTAAAAACTGCACTAACAAGATTCAAATTGCTTCTTTAATACTGAACTGTATGCATATTCTAAGCAAAGCACACAAATAACAAACCCAGGGATTACTATCCAAAAATGAGAGAAAAAGATGTTAACTCTAATCTCCAAACACTGAGGTCGAAAGTTGTTTCTACTACCCCGCCCCACCACCACAAGTAACTATAAAACTTACCAGGTAGAATGGTTCTGAAGTAACTGCTCTCTAGGTGAGGGTAAGGTGGTGGAGGTAGGGTATAGTTTCTTTCAGGTAACCCACACATTACTCCTCGATCTCCGATGCCCATGGGGAGCATGAGGGACAAGGCAGAAGGCAGAGAGCTCAGGGAGGGACCCAGGTTTGGAATTGCCACTGGAAGTCCTTAAAAAAAAAAAAATGAATTATTTTTTCTTAATTAAAAGATTGGTACCTAAAAACCACTTGATAAAACCTCTTAGAACTTAAAGAAACAAAAACAAAATCTCACCCTAGTAGCACTTTATAACCCAAGATACTACTGGGCAATATCTATAACATAAGCATACAAACAGTCCTAGTCCCCAAGTTACTTCTCAGAAAGGGTCTATTTAGCTCAGGTTGACCTATGATCTTCTAGAATGCTGGGATTACCCATATGCATGAAGAAACCTGGCCCTCAAATTAGATCCGTGTGTATGTGTGCACATCAGGTTGTTTTTTTTAAGTGTTAAACTGATCCTCCAGTTGTGTTTCTCCTAAATATCCAAATAACTAACAATCTAGTTTAAATAACAGCTAAGAGGAAAAAACCACACTAAAAACAAAAACAACACAACGGGTCCGTGCTGCTCCACCAGAGGACCAGAGTTCAACTGCTAGCAACCCATCAGTCTAATTCCAGCTCCAGGACGAGCCCCGCAAGGCACCTGCCCTCATGTGCATGTACTTACAAGTAAGTAAGACTAAAAAATGAAAATATCAAAAACAAAACCTATTCACAGGTACGGTCTCCTGCAGTGATAGCTTTTTGTAAAGCTTTACTTTGTTTTCCTGTTTTCATGACTATACATTTCACTTTGAAAACTCTCACACGCTTGGCATGGTTGGTGCATCTGTCATCCTAGAACCAGAGGCTGAAGCAGAAGGATCTGAGCCTAGGTGACATAGTGAAACCCTGTCTAAAAATGTAACAACAAACACCAGGCATGTTTGTACTTGGAATCCATCCAAATTAAAGTTAAATTAAAGTACTCTGTGTGTATATCTTCAGCCCTTTCTCTGCACACTGTACTTCACAATAAAAAGAGTCTGACCACCTCAGATCACATTCATTTGCAAAATGCTTAAATGACTTTCCCTGTGCCTAACCATCAAATAAATACCCACCAACTTACTCAGTGCTGATCTGCGTATTTTGGCCAGAGGGAATATTTTTTAATACAAACTTTTTCCTCTTAATAAGACTGTCTCCTAAAAGGAATAACTCAGGGATAAACAGATGGGTAACAATTTTCAAAGACCGTTTCAAGGCGAAGGCTGGTCTTCAACTGACCTTCCTGCCTATACTCGTAAACAATGAAATTCAGCATATTCCACTGTGCTTTTTAGTTGTTTTGTTTTTAGTGCTCCACTGAGCAGCTAAGAGCATTTGCTACACTTACAGGAGAACCCAAGTTTAGAGTCTTAGCACCCACATGGTAGCTCACACCCATCTGCAACTTGGGTTCCAAGGCATCTGACTCCCTAGTCTGACTTCTGTGGGTACCAGGCACACAGGTATACAAAAGTAATCCTGGACCTGCTTCAGATCATCAGTGTGTAAAGAAGCACCATGTTTTCAACAAGAATCAGACAAAACACATGCATACATCATATAAATAAACTTTAATTTTTTTAAAATTTCTTTTGTTGACTGACATTTAAGAGATGCTAATTTCAATTATTATGATTTGGTTTCTACATTTTATTAATTCAGAATATAATTTTCTATGAAGAACTAAACATCTTTTCCATATTATTTAAAATACTAAGCATAAAGTCCAATACAACATTATGATGCTACATATCCTTAAGAACCAACAGCTTACTCATTTCTCATTTCAATAGGAAAAGAAAAAAATCAGACAGTAAAAGGGTTTTCAGGCAGGGCAGTGGTGGTGCACGCCTTTAATCCCAGCACTTGGCAGGCAGAAGCAGGCGGATTTCTGAGTTCGAGGCCAGCCTGGTCTACAGAGTGAGTTCCAGGACAGCCAGGGCTACACAGAGAAACCCTGTCTCGAAAAACCAAAAAAAAAAAAAAAAAGGTTTTCAGAACCAGGTGATGGCACACACCTGTAATCCCAGCACTGGAGGGCGGAGCCAGGAGGGTCGAGAATTCAAGGCCACCATGGTTCTATTAAGATTGGGGCCAACCCAGGGTATGTAAGTCAAACAAAACCAAATCTCCCAACAACAAAAAAGGGAGTTAGTGTATTACGACACAGGATAGGAAGAATAAGCTTCCCTCCTGTGTTTCTGAGGACGCTCAGCTCACAGGAAGTGCCACATAAGACCGCCATCCCTGGCACTGCTTTCCCACAGAACCAGGCCTTGTACACTCTATAGATGCTCAGTGTCCAATCTAAAAGAAGACAAGCCCAATTTCAATGCTTTGGAACTTACAGAGGAAAGCTAACTGATCTTCTATTAATTAAGGACATGATGTCAAAGTGTCAACCAGATGAGTGTGAGACACCCCAGATAAAAAGCCAAGTCAGTTTCAGCTCTGGATGAAAGAGACTAACCCAACAGAGACTATCAGAAAGAAAGCTGCTACTCTATCCAGTAGGATGGTGCAGAGGCCGCTCACTGGCTTCTCTGCACTATGGAAACACACTCAACTGAACACAATGAGGAGGGCAGCGGCTCCCCAACCCCCGCCCCACCCCCACCCTATCCCCGCTCCACTCACCTGGGGCAGGGATGGCACTGTGAGAGGGAGAGGCGGCCAAACCCAGGTGACTTCCTGAGACTGGCAGGGCATTGCTCACAGAGGATGAAGACAGCTGCTCCATCCCCACTGGGCTCAAGTTCATGTCATTCATCCTAGGAAAGAGTATAGACAACCGCTGAGTCCACATGTTAAAGAGCCAAGAATCCAGGGATGGGAACAGGACCTGAGCAACTGCTCTTTATATACATATGGCCATAATGCCTCTGAAACCACAATAAGGACTGTGATTCAAAGTTAACGAATGCATGTCACTATTGTATACCATACACAGGAGTGAACTCAATCCTGCAGCACTAGTCAAGGTGGCTTATTCTATTTCTGTTAAGTAAATGTCATTGTAATTACTATCTCCATTTGGCTTACCAGCTCAAACCAGTAGTTTTTAGGCGTTATCTTTAAAGTACTGGAATAGTTTTTCTAGGCCTTTTTTTTTTAATAGTGAGTTAAAAGTAAGCCTGAGACTGATTCAGATGGCATAACGAACCACGCTTTCCCTAAGAATCAGTATTTTCTTAACATCTGTAAGCATACCTGAGTCAAAGATAATCTTAATACCCACGCACACTGAGGTTCATCATGCAAGCTTTGCTAGAACTCTACTAAAGCAACTTTGGATTTTAAAACACATTAGTTCTGCAAAGTATAGTAGAGGCGGATTTAAGTGCCAAAGATGTAACACATGTCCCAAATCATAAAGTAGTTCAATAAAAGGAAGGAAGGAAGGGCATCAGCCATCCTGCAAAGAACTGTCAGGGATGCGCCAATACATCAGTCTCTAGTAACACACAGACCACTTTCAGAAGGCTGAAGAGTCCAAAGAGCTGTCTTTTCTGGACCATGCGCCTGCAAAATCACTAACCCACGGTAAAGAGGACCACTGGTCTGAAAAGGCATCACTGGAGGCTATTACTCAAGGCAGTAGTTACAGAGCTAGGGAGGCTGAGTCAGGAGGACTGCCAGAACTTCCAACATTACCATGGACTGCATGATCTTGCCTCAGAAGAAAGTACACACAGCTAGAAAGACAGCTCCTGGGTTAAGAGCCCTTGCTGCTTTCCAAAGGATGTAACTTCAGTTCCCAGGAGCCATCAGGTGGCTTCAGAAACCTCCTGTACTCCAGCTCCAAAGGGTCCCACACCCTCCTATGTCCTCAGAGGGCACCTGCACACACTGCATAGGCACGGACACAGACACAGAATTAAAAATAAACATTTTAAATATATGCATATATACTAGTTTCTAGAATTTAGAGACTATCATCTTATCAGTGACTGAAGCTTGCCTTCTTAAAGGCGCTCTTCAGTGACCTCCTTAACTCCACATTTCCTGCAGCATATTCTCTGTGAGCCCAGGGTACCTAAGAAACAACGGGCAAGTAATTTACTCCTGCCTCTCCTAACCTCACACTTGGAGGTTGTATGATGGCAAGTCTGCACTGTCAACCACAGTGGACTTAGAATCACACAGGCACACACTTCTGGGTATGTCTAGAGGATGATTCCACCCACATTCAATGGGGTAGGATCCTGTATTAGGTAAAGTGAAGAAGCACACCCATCCCCAGATGTCTATTCCCTTCCAGATTACAGGCTGCAATGTGACTGCCTCCCCCACTATGATAGACTGTAAATCAAAGTAAACGGTCTTCCCTTAGGTTGCTTCTTGTCATGGATTTTGTCATAACAACTGCAGCGTTAGCTAGTCCACTTTGTAATCTTTTTTTAAATTAACATACATGCACATGTGTTAAAGGCTGTGGATGTATATGGTTGTCAGAAGGCAGTTCTCGACTCCCATGTTGTTGAGGCAGGGTCTCTCTGTTGCTGTGATCTGCCAGCTCCTGTGATCTCCTGTACCTGACGCCCATCCCCCAGAGGACTGCTAGAACTACAGATGCACACCACTGCACACAGATGTTTGTGTGAGTTTCAAGAACTGAACTGGAATTGTCAGCCTCCCTACCCAACTGATTTTATTCACTGGGCCAGCCTTGGACTGGTACCTTAGTCCCATTTTAATGATAAGAAAGCATAGATTTTGAGGTTAAAAAACAAAACTAAACTAAAATCATATAACTAGTCAGAAGTACAGCTGAGTTTTGAACTCAGACCTAATTTAAGATCCAATCTCTTAGCCTAGTAACAAATTACAAACAAAATTTGCGTGTTTTTTTTTCTTAAGAGTTCTATCTATTTACATTAGAACCTGGCTAAACTGTGGGGTATAATGTCCTACACAGACCTGTTTCTGGGATGACTATCTATAAGGTAATCATAAAACTAGCTTTTGCCCTGTCTCGAAAAACCAAAAAATAAATAAATAAATAAAATTAGCTTTTGGACATCAACTATGTCCAAAAAACGTGAAAACCATGCCCACTCGTCACTCAGAAAGACAGCTAGAACCACATGGCAAATGAGGTACACTATCTGAAGGACCCAAGATCAACAAAAGTATGTCATTTCTCATAGAAGAATGGAAACTCCTTGTAGCCTAAAGAAGCCTCTGCTACTTTAACTAGCAGTCTCTAGATTCCAGCTAGTTTAAAACAGACTTCTCTAAATTTTCCCACCTGCAACCATACCTAAAACACAACCATCACCAGAACCACAAGGCCTACAACACAACAGATTACAGTAACTTATTAGAGCAAAGTTAAGTGTGTGGCTTCATCTCCCATTCTGAAAGCTTCTGAACATCTGTCAGAATAATGTCAGAATAATCATCATCATCATCATCATCATCTGTGTGAAATCCTGGACCTTCTCAAACCAGTTCAAACAAGACTTTAGTAATAGAGGCTCAGCAGATTTTTGTTTTAATATGAGTCCCCAAAACGTGAAGACCTCAACAGCCATAAACCAAAGGTAACAAGTACTCAGAGACAGAAGACCCCAGGAAGGGGTCATTGTGATTCCCAAAGGACCTTCCCATTCAACAAGGCAATTCCATTCTACCGGTCTCTTATCACATCCTAAGACTGGCCTAAAACAAGGATACTGAGTTCTGTCTTGTCACTGGGTCTTCTGCAAATCATTCTTAACTGTCTTTATGTTTCTAACAGACCTATGTAATCATTTGTTGGTTGCAGCCCTCACATTGTTTTCTGGAAATAACATTTAAGAAACTAACAGAAATACAGCCACTTTGCAAAATGCATCGACCAGCTCCAATAATTTCAGTCAATACTTTTTCTCTTCCCCACTCATAGCTTTTTAAAAGCTTCTGGGAGAAAAAAAAAAAACAGCCAAATATTACTCTGTCTTTGGTTTGTTTCTGTGCTGTGCGTGCTAGCACAGTACTTTCTTTTTTTTTTTTTTTTCTTTTTTTTTTCGAGACAGGGTTTCTCTGTGTAGTTCTGGCTGTCCTGAAACTCACTCTGTAGACAAGGCTGGCCTCGAACTCAGAAATCCGCCTGCCTCTGCCTCCCAAGTGCTGGGATTAAAGGCGTGCGCAACCACTGCCCGGCGAGCACAGTACCTTCTAATTCACGAGATTTGCACAATTAAAAATCTTTATCTCCGCACTCCACCATCTCGGGTTACAGTAACCCGCAAACTTAAAGGTGAAGGTCGATGATACTACAGCAGGAATCCAAATTAAAATAGCTAAAATAACTCAAAGGAAAGAGGTGGCAAGCAGCTAACACTGTATGGCCACTCGGAACAATCGCACCAGGAATCAACTAGTACTACGGATATCTCCATTGGATTCAAACTCAAATTCATTTACAAGTCACACGTGTGCCCCGAAGGCACCCAAACAAAGACCCCGTCTCCGGCGGGGTCCGCCCCGCTCCCTGGGCCCTCCTCACCTGCGCGTCCAGTGCAGGGAGCCGGCGTCTGATAGGTGCGCGCTGGGGCCGGTGTCACGTGCTACCACATCCTGCCGGTAGCCGCGCCTCCCCGCACTGCCCGACGGCTCCGAGGGCCGGCGGCTGCGCTCCGTGCAGAGTGCCCGGCATGCTGGGCGGCGCCCGGGGCTGTTTTCCCAGAAGCGCTGGCAGCCGGACTGGCCGACCTGGAAGAAGAGAAAAGCGATCAGCCGTGGCCTTAACCTGCCCCGGCCGCTCTAGCCCGCTGGGCCGCGTCGCCCACCTGAGGCCCGCGCTGGGGAGCACTGGCCCAGCCGCCTGGCTCTTCATCGGGCCAGACGTCGGCCCGGACGCTCTTGCCTCCCGGGACCCCGCGCCCAGTTTACAGCAGCCCTAACATTTCCCGCCCGGCCCCGCCCGGTCAGGCCCGCCGCCTTCTCAGGGCCGCACCCGAGGGGGCGCGTTTCCGGCTTCTCAGCCACTCGAGGTCTGTTTCCGGTTTCCCAGCCACTCTGCGTACGTGCAGCCTGCCCACTGCCTGCGCTCCGACCCTCCCTTCCGTAAATACGCACCGCCCCCTTTCTGCGCGTGTGTACCGCAGAGTCCCGGGGAGTGGGTGGGCTTAGAGACGCTCCACCCCGAGCGTTGCAGCTCAGGTGGATGCCAATCCAATCGAGCGCCGAGTCATCGACCCGCCGTTGCTAGGAGACCAAAACTGACACACGAGCTAGGGGTGCGTTCTGAACTCCAAAGTTCTCCAGACTCTGCTTTTCCATCCTAATGGCATGTCCTCAAGTAGAGAAGCATGAATACACATAATGCAACGATTTAAATACACGATTGGGCTGACGGTGATGTGGCCCAGGAGTAATTGGGTTTTGATTCTGAAACTCTTGCACCCTATGTGAAGTTTCTCTGCTTCCACATCGTAAAGGATGATGTTGGGATTTGTGCAGGTCTTCTTCACTCTTTGCCTTTCCGTTCCTTCTGCAGGTACAGGCACAGTGCTGAGAATGATCACTGGAACCATAGCACTTGCTCGGTAGCCTTTTTACATTATGTTTACTCATGTGAGTGGGTGGATGTGTACGTGAAAGCAAATGTGCTTGTGGAGGTTAGTGAACAACTTACAGGAATCGGTTCTCTTTTTCCCACATGTGGGTTCCAGGGATCAAAGGGCCTTACCCTCTGCGCCACCTTGTCAGTCTATATATGGCAACATCTTATACCACCCAATTCACTAATCATATCTAAGCATTTACCCAACACAGAAATTATATGTATATCTGTGTGTATGTGTGTATGTATGTATGTATGTATGTATGTACAAAGACATTTGTACTAAGTTCCTTGCAACTTTGTTAATAATGTTCTATAACTATCTCAATAGTGGAGCCCTAGGCAGCAACAAAAACTAACAAGCTATATGCATGTAGGTAGACCTCTAGAAGCTTCCTACACTGAGTGAAAAACATCAGACACAAAAGACTGAAAGTCTGTATTCTAGAAAAGGCTTGACTTTACTAACAGCTCTGATGGATGTTGGGAGTTAGTGACAGGTGACGAGATGAAATTGCCTACATAGAGGCAGACATGAGGGACCATTTGGGTGATGTTTACATGCCTGTATATGTTTATTAAGGTTAATCAAATAGTAAAGTTAATGTTGGTGACTTTTGTCATATGTAAAAATGCATTGAAAAAGTAAAAAGCAGGGCATAGTGATGCACACGAGTCATACCAATACTTAAGGATGCTGAGGCAGGAGGATCAGAAGTTCAAGGTCATTCTGGTTACATAGTAAATTCTAGACAAACCTGGTGTCTTAGGGTTTCCATTGCTGTGAAGAGACACCATGGCCAAAGCAACTGTTATGAAGACAACATTTAATTGAGGCGGGCTTATCAGTTCAGCCCATTATCATCAAGGCAGGTGCATGCCATTGTCCCAGCAGACAAGGTGCAGAGAGTTCTACGTCTTCAACTGAAGGCCACTAGGAGAAGACTAGCTTCCGGGCAGCTAGGATGTTACACCTTCACCAACAAGGCCACACCTACTCCAAGAAGGCCACACCTCCAAATAGTGACCCTCCCCGGGCCAAGCATATTCAAACCACCACACCTGGGCTACAGAAGATGCTGGCAAGATGTAGCCCAGCATGTAAAGATACTTTCTATATAAGCCTAATGACCTGAATTTGATCCCTGGAACCCATTCAAAGGTGAAAGGAGAGAGTCGACTCTAGAAAGTTGTCCTCTAACCTTGACATGTGTGTCATGGTACATGTGCCCACACAATCATGTACCCATATACATTATGTACCCACACAATATTTTCTTTACTTTTAAATAGTTTACATGATGGCTCAGCAGATAATGACGCTTGCTTCCAAACCTAACAATTTCAGTTCCCAGAACTCTCATGGTGGATAGAAAGAACCAACTCATAAGTTGTACTCAGAACTCCAAACGCATGGCATAACACATATGCATGTACATGCATGTGTGCTCATGCACATACATACACATACAAGCAAACCAACTAACAGAGGCTACATAAATGGCTTAGTGGGTAAGAGTATATACTGTTCTTATAAAGGACACAACTTGAGTTCCTGGCACCCATATCCAGTGGCTGATAACCTCCTGTAACTCCAGCTCAGGAGGGCCCAACATGCACTTTTGGCCTCAGAGGGCACCTGCACTCACAGGCACACATATACACTCACACAGACAAATGCATAAATAAAAATAAAGTTTTTAAAAATTTGCTAGCCTAGTGATACAGCTCAGTGGTAGAGTGCTTGCCTAGCAACTGTGAAACTCTGAGGTCAATCCGCCGATGTGTGAGCACTACACAGACTATCTACCTTCCTATCTATCTGTCTATCTTCCCTACCTGTTAATCTCTATGTGGAAGTCTTTGTAGACAAGGTTAACTTTTTTTTAATGTTGAAAAGAAATGAAAAATACGAATAAATAGTACTAAATAACTATGGCCCTTTAAATGCTGTTGGAAACAATATGATCTCTAAATTAGAATGTAAGGGTATAGAGAAGGATTAACAAAGACTGGCCTTCACTTAATGTCCTTTTGTCTGTCCTTCTCAACCCTGAACCCCTCACTCCATTAGGCAACCTCATCCACATTAAAGCAACAGCTTCATGGGCAAATTACATTTAGATGAGAAGGTATAAATACTGGATCAGAGATTACAGCTTTGGGTCTCCCGGAGTGTGGAGACTCCTTGAGACCTCTGAGGTCAGTAAAAGCTCCTCTTATGAAATGGTGACAAGAAACACTGGCTCCCAGGGCAGGACTCATGGCTGTTCAGGCAGCCGCAGTATCTGCGTGATCAAATCTGGTGTCTTTGCCCCTGAGCAGTTACTTGGCTGCAATGGGGAGGCCCTGAGCAACACCCTGGGTTGCTACAGTGATTCCAGATGGAACCCCTAACTGTGCTGTAAAGAATGGAATCTCCCTCTAGGTGAAGACCGGTCCTTGTCTCCTCTCTTAAGGGTTAATCTAATAGGGAAGCGTCCTGGCTAGGGGCCCACTCCTAGGAAGGCTGATTCACCTTAGAAGATGTGTCTTTCCTTTCCAGAATTCCTGTCCCTTGGTGCATCCCCTACTACCAGAACCACCAAGAAGTTCAGTTGGGTTTGCCCATCAGAAAGACCTATTTATCTTATTCTCTTTTGACTTTTTCTTTTGGATGATGGCATGTATGCTTTTAAAGTCTCTAACTAATGCTTTGGCCTTCCTTGCTCTTTCTAAATCTCCCATTCTAAATACCTACACTGCCCACCATTGTGTGACTGACCTTCCTACCACCTTATCAAGACTTCTCTTCCTTCTCTTCTTTCTCGTTCCTTCTGGGCAGCTGGAGATTTGCAGCTTGCCTAACTTGGAGTTTTCCTTTTAAACTCTAACAAATTGTTCTCAAGATTCTGTTTGAATCTATTCTTAAAGTCTTCTATTAACAGAACTCCAGTAGGGGACCCTGATTTCCAACATATCATATGCTGGCTTTTATGGGGACTCTGAGATTTCAGCTATCACTTTTGTTGGCCTCTTTGCTTGGATAGGAAGGTGTCCTGGGACTCAGAAGCCCAGGAACCACATAGCTCTGAGAGGAATCCTTCTCAGTAGAGGCAGCTCCCAGGAGCGGGTATCTCCAGCAGAGCTGGGGCGCTCAGGAGCCTCAGCCCTGCCCCTTATCATTCCTTCTTCCCTCTCTTCACTGCTTCTTGCCATCTTCCAATGAGAGAGTCACACCAGGCAGCAAATCTCATGAAAGAGAGTTATTGGAGGGTCCAGGGTGTGGAGGGACAAATTCAGAAATGGCTGCCAATGCTCCCAAAAGGGAGCAGACAGCAGTAAGGCATTGTTAGACAAAGCACAGTGCTTATATAGGGGTTCTTTGAGGGGTAGGGCTTTCTAGGGTGGAGATTTCCAGGGTAAGGATTGTTGGGATTTCAAGTCCTGAGCTTGGAGGAGTTCAGGGATTGGTGGCTTTTGTTCACACTTTTCATCTAAAATTAGCATGATCTGGGAAGGGTCTTGTTAAGGGGCTGGAGATGACCCCTCTGTGACAGTTATGACAGGGAGGTCTGAGGGAGGGGCCCAGCTGCCAGAGCCCCTCAGATGGGGCCCTGGCCACTTTCCTGCCTTGAGGGTTTACAAAGTTTATAAAGTATCCAAAGTTTACAAAGGGAGTCAGTCCACTGCAGGAAAAGCCTTTCCTGCCTCAGAAGTGCGGTGAATATCTAACAACTTCTTCCCTGCTTTTTAATTCTTTAATTGTCAGAGAAGACAAACTCATTACTACACTGTGACATAGCATCATGCTCTGCTCTGCTCTGAGCTGCCATTCCCAACTTTCATCTTTCCAAATGATTTGGGGTTTAAAACATAGTCTTAATACACACACACACACACACACACACACACACACACACACAGTGTTTGGTTGTCTTAGAGTTTCTTTCTATTGCTGTGAAAAGACACCAGGATCATGGCAATTCTTATAAATAAAAACATTTAACAGGGACTGGCTGACTGGCTGTTGCATAGTTTTTCTACCTCATCCCTTAATGCTCTGGGAACGGGCCGTTCTACCAGCTCCCACCCAGAGAATATTGTATTCATGGATGAAAAACACAGACACACACATTGTTCAATTTCAACCAATTCTTTTGGCTCAACTGTTGGGCACCTCCATGCTACCACGGCTACTGTGCCCTTCCCAATACTCCCAGCTCAGCTCTCTCAACCTGCCCTAGCTTCAGTTGCTCAGCCACCTTCAGTCCCAGCTCAACACCCCCAGCCTCCAGCTTGGAAAAGCTGCCTATGGCCACTGCCCAAGATTTCACATGGCTGGTTGGCTTTTCTCCCTCTGAAGCATGGCGGAAAACCTCCTTTCCTCTCTCTCCTGCGTCTGCTAGCTTGCCTGCTGGGAC